TGGATTTGGCTACCTCAGAACCTCATTTTTAGCTAAGTTGCAACTTGCCAACAGCCCTCACCCAGTGCTATTCTTGAGCACTTTGCCCAATCTTATGTTTCAGAAGCAGCGCCTGTGTACAGTGCGGTTGCTACAACCTTCTCTCCAAGACCTGTCCTCCCTCAGTCAAAACAGGAAGGCAGGAGAGGAGCTGTGGCCAAGGCCCCTTGACCTTCCAGGGAAACAGCGAGTATTTATGTGGAGACACTGGACTGATGATCTTAGCTGTGTTGACAGGGATGAGTTATAAAGTGAAGCAGGCATAAGTGCAGTTTTAACGAGGCATAGGATTTCCAGGATTTAGGAGTGTTTTTAGCACCTTTCCCCTCTAAGACTGCTCATCCCCACACTTCATCTGCTTCCAGATGGGTACCAGTACCACTCAATGGGCTGTGCTGGGAGCTAAGAATCAGTGCTGGGAGATTATGGGAGGCTGCCATGGACTGGTCTGGTTCTGCTGTAGCCCAGGGCAATGTCAGGGGCTCATCCAGGGGCCTATCCTTGTCTACCACCCTTCCCTATGGGACTGCTCTCTCCCTCCTCCCACCCATCTATTTAATACCCTGGAGAATTGGGTCAATGGCTTGGGGGCCCTCAGGGAGGGGGAGCTGGACACGGTGCATCGGCTGGAGTGCTCCTGCACTCACAGGGCTTTGCCAGAAGGATCCACAGAGCCAAACAGAGGTAAAATTTGCCTCAAATTTTAAAGCTGTCTGGAGTACATTGGTAGTCCTGATTCACAGTTCCCACTGTGGTTCCCACCCAAACCCATGAGGAGAAGGAATATTTGGGGAAGGAAAGAAAGAGCAGGGGAAGGAGTCAGTGACTGAGATTTCCACTTTTTTACTTGTGTCCATCCTTGGTAGGATAAACAGCCTAATTTTCTTATGTAGGCAAGAATCTAATACAAATCATACATTTTCTTCCTTGCATGAAGGAGAATGCAAAACCAACTTCAACACACTGAAATCTGCCTGCAGAAGAAAATTAAGCTTAATAATTATGCAATTATTGCATTCCTTTATTTTCAAATAAAGACAGGAAACTTGAATTAAACCTGTAAAAAATTTTTATGTGCTTCTCTTGATAAATAACCCAAGTTTATGACTAATTCTATTCTGTGACCCAGTGAAGACTCCTTCCTGTTAGCAGATGAACTGATAGCCAATGGATTCATTGTACTTTCTTGCTGTGGTAGGAGAGTAAATCAAAAAGAAACCCTCCACATTGCATTTGCAGCCTCAAAGAATTAGCTGAATTGTCAGGCCAGCCTCCAACCAGTCAGAAGAAAGGCTCTCTTACATCTAGGTGGTAAGAGCATTCAATTAAAATCAGTCTGATTATCAAACAGACCTTTTCCACAGTGGTCCAGCTCTGCTCCTGTTGAGTGATGTACTATTTTGAGTCAGTAAACTTCCACAGGGGGACTTTCTGTCAATAGATGTATTTTTTGTTGAGTATTTCACAACCAGAGAAGCATGACTTATCTCCCAAAGTTGTCTTTGAGAGAACAATTAAGTTATTTAAGATGAGCAAGGCAAGCTGCTGACACATTTCAGTTTTGAAGGCACTGCTGTTCAGTTTATGCAGACAAAGCCTGAAACGTGAAAGCTGGCCTCCTGCCTTTGTTTTCTTCTAACTGACTGCCGGAGAAGCAGATTTCCCTGTTCCATGGCTAACTAGATCTGCCTGGTTGGCTTAACCAGTGAGCACATTCCTGCACTTCAGGAAGAACACTCCGGGCTCATTATGAGCTACTGGGCTACAGCCTGACACTAGGAAAACAGATTTGTTTTGGACAAGCTGCTCTGACATGGAGGTGCCAGGATGAATAACCTTTGGGGGAAAAAAAAATCAAAACAAACCAGCTTAAATCAAAAACCTGCCTCCAAGAGCAAGATGAATAATCTGACAAATGAATGGCTCTGTATTTTATATCAAAGCACAAAATAGCTAGAAGTTGCAGGGATCTGACTCATGAGCAGAAATAGAGTGCTGGGGCTGGCTTGAGCTGTCGCTACTGCCAGCTGCCCCCACTGCCGGAGAATGGCTCAGATGCTGCTTCTTAAGAAATTCAGCCACAAAAGGCTACAGCTAAGCATTTTAAGGGAAACGTGTCAGCGCTAGTTTATAGCCTCACTCCTCAAGATAAACCTTGAAACGGTCCTGGGTTGCCACAAAGCCTTTCAGCTGTTGAGGCAGGAGGAACAGGAGAGACACCTCGCCAGGCATCCCGTTGGAAGTTGCAACAGGCACAAGTCAGCACTCGGCAAAGCAGCTTGTCCCAGCCAAGCAGCAGTCTGCTGCCAAGCAAGGAGTTGACAGAAGCCCCCACTCCCCACCCCCCTTATCAGCAAAGAAGCCTTTTTGAAACGGGCAAATTTTAAGCTGTGACCTATTTAAACATCCTGCCCCATCACCGACCAGCAGCACAATTCTGCAACAAATCCCACAGCACGCTGGTGCTGCTGTGTTTCCCCAGCTGCTCTCTGTGACAAGTTCTTCGACTCAAATAGCAGTCCTAATCCTAGCGTAAAGCCCCAGCCCAGCTCCGCCAGATAAACACACATTGTTTCACCTGGTCTTCTGTGAAAATGAGACTGTGGCAAGTGCCGTATCACTGCTATTTTCTCTACCTCCTCTCAGATCCTCCTCCCACCCATAACTTTCTAACGTGTTTATTGTGTAGAAGGAGAAAGCTCAGAAAATCAAACTCCTACAAACGCAGGGGGAAGGAGAAAGAGTAGTTGGATATGCGCACCCATCCCCACTGAGGGTACAGTTACACAGCGGCTTCAATCGCTCTAAATTGGAGTTGCCGTAGCAATGCCTGCCCTGCCTGCATTATCCTGTCCTCCCTAAAGCAAAAAGCTACCTGGGACTCATTCTGCTGAAAACCAGCCCTACCTAAAAATTATTCATTTTGGCTCATTGAGCTCCATGCAAAGGCTTGCTGTACACCTTGAACCACGGGAGGGCAAAGGAAGGAGCCGTCAGGATTTTGCAGGATGGGGGGAGAAGAAGCATATCTGTTGCTCTGTTGATTTTGGGACAGCTGGATTCCTGCAGAATGAATTCTTAGCAGGGTAACAGCAGTGCCGAGAAGCTGCCTCCGCAAGGGGAATCCCATCCAGCTCCCCTCTCAGCTCCGTCAGGTTAATTGCCACTCTGTGCTCCCTGCCTGATGCCATCGTATTGGGCCACAGCTTGTCTGGGCTGCAGGTGGGAAGTGCATCAGGGTAGGAGTTCTTGTGCTGGCAGCTGCATTTTTCTTAAAACTAGGGCAAAAATTGCAACTTGAGGGTTGGGAGCATGATGTACACGTCTGGAAAAAGATGCTTCAAGTTCATTCAGAGCTATTTTGACACTGATTTATGCAACATTCTGCTTTGCTATATCAAAACTCCTGTTGGAGACCTTAATTTTGTTTCCTTAACCATTATTCAAAGAATGCACTAGCTGAAAATATCTCCTGAAAGTTTAGAGATGTGGGGGACGATGCCCGGGCTCTAAAGTCATGAATTTGTATTGATTCTCCTCATGTAAACCAGCATAATTAACTGGTGAGATTTGCAGTCCTGGGGACGTCTTACACCCTTTCTGCATCATTCATGCATTGCCTGCAGTAGTGTTTGTTGAAAGTTCGACACCGTTATTGATGCACCATGGTACATTTAGTGGTTGGTAAATGGCTTTAATCAAGAGTTTTCTTTACAAAGGTACTTTTAAATACCTTGTGATATGTGGAATCATACACACACATTGCATCGCATCTATTACACAAGAAGGGTTCTGGCCACGATGCCTCTTTTCCAACTCTTCAAACAAACAAAAAAGAGAACTGATGAAACATCAGGCAGTTTAGGAGAGCTTTAAAGGGCAGTGGCTACTGAATTGCCTTTGCGCTCCCAGGTCCGCAGAGGGAAGAAGCATCAGGTGTGCTTCCCCATCCTCCACGGGTGCAGCCGACCGGCAGGGTCAGATGAGATGCCTGCCCGGCGCAAAACCGGAGGATGTAGAATATTTGAGAGTGGTTTGGCCGCTGGCAGTCAGCTGTGGGAGCCGCAGGAATCAGGATGCAGGATTTTGGGTCTTTGTTTCAGGAACATTACTTGGAAAGTATCGGGGGCAGCCGCAAGGCGGTCCGAAATCCCTCATCTTAATCTACTCTCGTCGCAGGGGGCTAGACAGGGGAGATGACGGCACCGTCCCTCCTGACTCCGGGGGGCCGAGGGCTCCCGGCCGGCTTGCCGGAGGTCCCATCCCTTCCCGACCCGCGCATTGCACGGCAGCGTCCCGAATCCAGGTCCCCCACGCCCCTGCCTGTGTACGCCCAGCGGCGCGGGGCGGTGGGCGACAGTGGCAGCTGCCGCACACTGCAAACTGGGCAGCATTTTTTTCTTATTTCTTCCCACCTTTTCCTCATCTGCGGGCCGCGCACTGCCCGCACTGCTCGTTGTAGAGCTGGGTCTTTAACTTCGCACGGGAAAAGGAGCAAAGAGAGAAGTAGCCGGGACGGGAGGAAAGGAGCAGGGTAGTCGCGGCTCGGGGGACTGCAGCGAGGACATCCGGCACCTGCCCCCGCCCGCGGCGCGGGGTGTCCCGGCGCCCCCGGACTTACTTTCTGCGGGTCGGCGTAGGTGCCCAGCCCCAAGAGCGGGATGCTGTTGCCGTCGCTCAGCGGAATGCGGTGGCTCTCGGCGGTGAGGTTCATCGTGCCGGCAGGTAGGGCAGCCCCGGACCTGGGGCTGATTCCGCAGGGGGCGGGAGCCGCCGCTTCGCAGACAACACAGCGGCCCTTGGCACCGGCACCCACCGACGGCTGGACGGAGCGAACCGGCGGTGGCTCTGGGGGGACCGAAGGACGAACTGCCCTCTCCCGCCGCCGGGGAGCGCCTTTTTGGGGGGCTGAGCCACGTGTGCCCGCGGCTGCCCTGCACCGCGCCCCGCCGCGCACCGCCCCGGCCCCGCCCCGGCTCCGCGGCCACCGGCTCCCCGCGCACCGCCCCGCGCCGTGACGGCCCCGCCGCGACCCCCGCGGGGGGATCCGGCGGGGGCTGCGCGCACGGGAAAGGCTGCTCCGTGCTAGCCTCAAGGCGGGCCCGTGGGCCATCAGCACCTTGAGCGGCTTGGGGCGTTGCTGCCCAGTGGTCAGGGAGCCCTCGCGGGCTGCCCTACCCGGAGCTGCCGACAGCACGGCACCGGCTTCCCGTGGTTTGGGGTGGCAGGTCTTGGAAGTTTCCCCACAGACGTGTAGAACAGTTTCCACCTCTCCATTCCAGTGGTTGAAATCCACTACCGTAGAGGCAAGGAGGGAAGGAAGGAAGTCCCAGATTGGTGAGTAGTTTCTCTGCTTCAGTGTGAGTCCCAAATTACAGTGAATGGACTCAAGTTCCTCATGGTCTGGTTCTGCTCCATAGTGTAAAAAATGTATGTATTTCCTAATGCTGATAGCCCAGAAGGAGACAATATCCTTTATAAAATTAATCACATTCTTACTGTCTCTTCTGGTCCTCATGAAAAGCTCGGGGCCATGCTTTTACACCACTGTGAGCCACCTGCTTTGTGACATCTATGCTGAGTTCTCCCCATTTGATCTGGAAGTGCATGGTCTTTTATGTCTTCCTAGATCAACCTGTAATTAAGCCCTCGGGGAACATTATTCCTGAGCCATAACAATGGTCTTTGGCTGGCAGTTTATTTTATCTCCTCTAATACCCTACTTGGCTTTCTGTGCATGGTAATAGTTCATCAGGTTATGCAATTCCAAGAGGGGTTAATGGATCCATCATGATATGTTATCTCTGCAGTTCTTGAAATCAACAGGTGTGCACTAGTTTGCATTCAGGGAAAGGGTTAGTTGCTGCTTGGGCTGGGAAACTACCTAGATAATACCCTACCATGAGACTCTTTCAGTGTCACTGGTTAGATACCTTCAAGGGTCTCCAGAGAAGATGGAAGAAGTGCCACTTGCACATTTAGGAATGTTCCAAGAAATACAGGACTAAGCCAGCTAGATCCCAACCCAAAAATTTCTAGTTAGGATGTCCTGCAGGACAAAAGTGGTGTGTGTAAAACGCTCCTTGGAAAGTGGACACAGTGTGACTGAGGTTTTCTGAGAGCCTGTGTGGACAGCACAGTGCAAAGAGCTGCCTCTAAGGTGGCTGGGTTGCATTTCAAGGAGGGGAAGCTGAGGCAGACTTCAGCCTGGCTGTAGTTACTGCCCATCCACCTAGACCCTGTCTGCGTGTTGCTGGGAACTGTGGGTACCTGCAGGAGGAAGGAAAACCAGTGACCACCTCCATGCTCCCCTGTTGTTCCCATGTAACTGATTACCACTTTCTTGCTACAGGAGCAGCTCCGATCTCCTTTCTCTGTGCCAACCACACTCTAGGAGGACAGGTCAATGCCAGCTGCATGTCTAAGCTATAGACATCACTCTATTGTATTAACAACAGAGGAGCAAACACATGGAGAGATGGAAATCGGGTGAGTAGAGAAGAGTCTGATGTGGCAGAGGACATTCAGGGACCTACTTATTTCCAGTCCCATGCTAGCATTCCATGAAGAGGCTCTGCTGCCCAGTGGCTGATTCCTATCCCTTAACTTCTATGCTCCAAGTCCACTCCACAACCTGCTTTTTCATAATTCCTGTTAATCCAGCATATTTTGGGGAGTTTTAAGGCACGGTTTTGGCTTGTTTGCTTTGGGCTCGGAGCACATCCAGTTTACTCATGTGCTCTGGCAAGAGAGCAACGCATGCCCGGAGCTGCGCGTGATCCCGAGCTAAGCAAAGCACGGCTGTGTCTGCGGTGCCTGTCCTGGGGAGAAGAGCAAGTGCAAGGAGCCTCTCTGGCAGGAGTACACGAGCCTGATATGTGATAGCCTTCAACAACTGTGAAAGAAGGATTGATGGACTTGCCATAATTCACAGAATGGGGGAGCTTGGGCAGGAGAAGGACTTGTGCTTCTAGGAAAAGGCAGGCAAAGTGGTACATCACCATCAAGGCAAGCCAGCCACACCAGGCACTCCTGCCCTGCCACAGGCACAAGCCCCCAGCACTCATCAGGGTAACAGGCAAAAGTTGCCTCATTTCCAGCTTCACTGCTAGACTGGTCCTTACAAGACTAGCCAATGTGCTTGCCCCAGAAATTGGAGAGAGGCAGAGGGTTTTACAAGTCCTTTCCTCCACTCCTACACCATAACTGACAGCAAATAGTGTGAACACCTCTTGCACATGAGACTTTTAAAGCCCCATAGCTGCTCTAGCTCCCTACTCTGTTGTTCCAGTGCCTTTGCAGATTTTATATGAAACCCCAGAAAACAGATAGAAAAATGCATTTTTCCCCTTTTACATCCAAGTTACTATCTAAAAAAAAAAAAAAAATGCATATTTCATAGAAGCTAGAAAACTAGCAGGTTTTCAGTTGATAATGAATATCCTTTAAAGAACAAAGGAAGCCGAATAATGGAGCCTGGAGCCTGTCACATGAAATTCTTGTTAGTAATAATTTCTGTTAGCTGTTCAGGAAAGCACAGTTCTCAATTTTAGAGGATAAATGACTTAACCAGACTTTTTATGAGGACACGGTATCTAGCAACTCTGACTGCAAAACAATGTAAGTTTCTAGAGGCAAAGCGTTGGCTGCTGGTTGTTGTCGATCAGTAACAATTCAGGAGCTTTTATAAAATGCAGATGTGATCTCAGTTCTTTCTCTAGGAAACAAAAACAATGAAGTTTCAGCCTGGCCTGACTAGTAAGTAATGAGTGCTGCCATCCTATCAACATAAGTTTGCCTTCTCTAGTGAAGCTCTTAAATCACACAAAAACACCTTCAGAAGCAACTAAGGTAGGTTTGTGATTCACGTCTTGGTGGTGCAGGATTTTAGAATTGCATTAGTCATCTCAGACCTAAGTAAAGAGCAAGGATTTCAAAAGCAACATCTTATATGTGTTCTGTTCCCCACCCCCTGAATCTCCACACAAATAAGGTAGATTAAAAAAATAAAAAGAAAAATTAGATCTAAGTTTTTGCAGGAAAGTGGGTCAGACATTTGAGGATTCTTGCTGTTAAAAACTTGCTGAAATCTCAGGTAAAGAAAGTACTTAACGGCCTCCTTACCTGGGCAAAACTGGTAAGGGATCTTTTAAAGAAGTAAAGAGGTCACCTTTTTACTCATTTTATCTCAAATTGCTAAGTATCCTGGGAACAGGAGAAAATGTGTGAAGCCTTTAAATATAGAATCCCCAGTTCTTGGAAGGAGAAAGTCTTTGATTGAGAAAGACTTCTCATTGATTGAGAAAGACTGGCCTTGTCATCATTTAGATTTCATGTTTCCTTGGGCATTCATGGGTTGCCCCCCTCCCCCTTCCTCTTTTTTTTTTTTTTTTTTAACTTCTTTTCAACAAGAGAACTTGTTAAAAATAGAATTCTCCTGAATCTTCTTGATCTAGGTGTGTTACCCATTGTAGATTAGATTAGTGAGATTCTAGAGATTGGTGACCTGTAGTGCCTAAAAATGAACTTTTTTTTTAAAAAGGAAAATTGAAAGTACTTTTATAATACTTGTATTTGTTCAATAAAAAGTGCATATTGCTAGAGTTTCTATTTTCTCTATGAGTCGTGCTCCACTCTGTGTAATTATCTGCTAGAATGCATACTCTGCATGTGTTTTTAGTTAAAATTTCTTAAAACACGGTCTTAAAGTCTGCATATTTTCAGCCTAGTCCTTTAATAACGCACATAAAATAGCATGTGTCCATCCTGCATGTGGAATATCTAGTGATGTATTTTCAACTATTTAGCTTAGAGATTTTGGTAGCATGTGTCAAGACTAATATTTATTTTCTATTTTCCCATTACCTGTAATAAACTAACACATATAAAGGAAAACTTCTAGCTTCATTTTTAAACTCTAAGAAAGAAGGTGTGTGTATGCTTAGTAGAGGGCCCATACATGAAGTGAGATTGCTTTTTTTATTTTTCTGGCTACTTCTGTCACAAATTATATAAGCTGACCTGGAGAACACTTCTCTGGTTAAAAAAAACCAAAAAACAAAAAAAAAAAAAAAAAACCAACCAACCAAACAAAAAAAACCCAACAAAACTTTTAGAATCTTTTTATTCTATTTTCACAGATTATGACAATAATCATCACATATATCCCAATATACTTCTTGAGGGCACCTGATGAGTGGTACCTTACGCTGCCTGCATGATTCCTTCATTTAGTGACCAAAGCATTCCTCATATGGAAGTATTTGTGATCTTTTCCCTTTGGTGATGTTTGTTGCACAATGAGGCTGATCACTTCCTGGATAACAGCCTGGGCTTGTTGGGAAGTGTGATGTAATGGGCATTCCTAGCAAATTTTATGCAAAAACCTTTTTTTCCCTAGCTCCCACTGGTCCATGTAAACTACTTGGCAAATAATGAAGCACTTAAGTGATGTGTTCTTTTTTTAATTTCAATAACTTTTATGTCTGCTAAGGACTAGTTCTTGGTAAATTCTTCTTTGAAGGACCAAAGCTTGCTTTCAAATTTTCAAGACTTACAGCTCGGCATTGATGGGAATATGATACTACTCTTTTAGTGAAACTCTTCACTGCAAGTCCTGCAAAGCACTATCTGTCCTCCAAAGACCTCACCTGGCCTGAGTTTTCCAGCACTGGTACAGCACTTCTCCTGGATCCCTAAGGAGATCATGAGGACAGGGAGAAAATGTGCCTACCACTTGTGCCTGTGGAGAGATTTAGGAAAATACTTGATGACTGGGTCACTTATCCCTTCTGCTTCCTATAAATGCTCTGTGGCTACAGCTGTGATAAAAGGGAAATTCTGATGTATCCTTGATGCTGTTCCATTGCTTCTAGTAATACTGGAAAAGTGAAGCCACTGCAAGCCTTTGATCGCTCCTGGGGTAGAAGAAGAATGCCAGCAGCTGCTCCACCTACTCCTGTAGCTGTGGGGATGTGCTCATGCTCCACCAAGGCACAGGGGCTTCCTCAGGGACAGCCTCCCCTGGCCATTCCAGTCTGTCCCTGTCCCTGTCCCTGTCCCTGTGCCACCTTGGGACAGGTGCAGGGTGCCGGGCTGTGGCATCCTCTGGAATGCCACTGCCACTGCCCTTGTGCTGGGTGCCGCAGGGTGCTTCTCCAGGGGGGGTGGCTGTGCAAATAGCCAGAGCCTGCTCAGCAGTTGAAACTCCCTCTGGTTTGGGTTCTAGTCCCTGGCTGAAGCTATGGTGGTTGCTATACCAGAAGCAGGAGCCACACAGACAGCAGAGGAAGCAAAATCTCACAACACAGGAGCCAAATTAGCCAGGCTGTTTATACACTACCACCATGTTTCCCATGGCACAGCAGGAGAGGGGCCAGCACTAGCAGCACAACCCTTAAAATGCGCCCTTTCCCCTTTTGGTGTCCGCTTCAGGAGCTTGAGTTTCTCCATTAGCATCCAGGGAGTGTTACTTATGGGCTGAAAATCCCTGTGGAGGCTGAGGAACTCCTTTGGAGAATCAGAAACTGCTGGGAAAGAGATGCTCAGCTTGAAAAGGTAATCCTCCTAATCCTTTGGAAAGGTAATGCTCTAGTCCTTTGCCAGTGTCATTTATACAGGCACTGTCTCATGAGCTTGCTTTCTTTTGAGCACTGTCTTCATGCTTGAGTTTGGTGTTAGCAGGGCTTGCGGCAAACTGAGCCAGAAGCCAGCTTTATTTCTTCCTCCTGACACTCTCTTTACTGATTTATTACTTTTTTCTAGCAACAGTGTCTTAGTTTTTGCTCCTGACTGTCTGCTCTGGCACATAACCGACCTGGGAGCTGGTGAGCGCTGCCTCTCAGATCCCCAGCCAAAGGTCAGTAGCTGCATGGTGGCCTCTGGATTCCTTGGATACCGACCCTTGTCATGTGGGGAGGCATTAACCTTTGGCCCTGAGTAAGTGTCCTCATATCTCACCTCAGTTAGTCTGGCCTGCTATTTGATCCTGCCCAGTATAAACCCCTTTCCTTTGGCATTCTGCAAATCTAAGCCCTGTGTTGATTATTTCCATTCACCTGATGCTGGTGGGAGATAGCCTGTGTGTTGCACCCAGGAATGAGTAAGTAGTGGCAGAACGGGCAGCTCGGGAATAGCAGACTGTGTGTTCACAGCCCCTCCTGCATCCCAAGGGAGCAGTGGTGGTAGCTTCCTTTGTGTAACCTCTCTTTCTCATCCAGAGTAGGGATAGTTACTATGGGAGGATACTGCCTGTATCATGCAACTAAGGTGTTTCGAGAGTTTGAGGTTTGGGGCTTTTTTAACACCTGATTCATGGGGAGGGAGTCACTGAGAGTCCCTTACTTCGAATCAGGCTCTTGGGACAGGTTTAGACTCATCAACAGATCTTAGCATGTTAAAAAAATGTGAGCTTTCTCTTGCCTCTTTTTAATGCAGAACATGGTCAGGGGTTCACCTCAGTGCACCACCACTATTCCTGCCAACTCCCATGATTACTGGACATGTAACCTCACACAGCTCCCTTGAGTCCATCTCAGGGCTGTACAGGCATTCTTAGTTTAGCTCTGATGAATGATCGTTTTACTTCCTTGCATTGGGTAAACAGCTGTTTTCCATGTTACCTGCTTTAGGAGCCTCACTGGCATGTTGTTTCTTTCCTTGCCTCCAGCAACAAGCAGACACAAGTGACTAATTGCAGCAAGGCTGCACTGGCACCTTCTTGCAATCAGGACAACATGAAAAATACACATAATTTTCATACAGCACACCACACGTCAGTTGGCTGCAAGATGAAATAACAGGGAGCAGGCACTTGCAGTCTCTTTTCTGTATCTTTTACTATTCAAAAGAATGAAAGCAACACAGGCTTGGAGGTCTGTCCCGAAGTGGCCAGGCCCCTTTGGTCTCAGCGCTTCCAGCTTCAAGTCCGTACTGGGGAATCTCTCCCTTTGAAGTATGTCTCACTTGGGCAGGAGCCAATGTCATGAGGAGGAAACTATTAGCTTGTAAAGAGAACCCCACAGGTGAAGTCTGACCTCCTGCTGGTTTCTTTGCTTGCAGGTATTTCCTGTGGATGCTTTAAAAACAGATGGTATTGTGGGTTTTGCTGGTGCCACCTGCTAGTGGGCAATGCTCTGTGTCAAAAGGAACAGGGAATTTAGAAGAGTAGGCTTTAAAACATCACATTAATGTATTTTAGCCTGCCTGCATGCTTTTTAAATTGTGCCACTGTTTTAAAAGGCCAGATAAGCTCATTTTTACATGGGTTGGTCCTTGTCCTGGAGCTGGTAGCCCAGGAGGAGGGCAGTGATGGTGGAGCAGAGTGGTGCTGCAAAGGATGTGAAGCCCCACTTGAGCACCTGTGCTTTATGAGCAGAGGTTATATCAGGGCTGGTGGGATTTACAGCTGTGTGCAGCTCTTCATTCCACATTTCCTACCAAGGTCCAGCATGCAGACCACAGGGCATGTTTTTCCTCTCAGTAGGCTCTCAGTTTTGCAGTGGCCATTTCTTTTGTCTGCTTTGCAGACAGAATTTTTTTTCCATCTTCTTATTTTCTTTTCTGTAATTGCCACTGAATTTTTGATGTTTGTATGTACTTTGGCAGATTGAGAAATCTCCTGATGTGTTGTGAGATGTCCTTATCATATTCTGCCAAGCTCTACCAACCTATTATTTCCATATCATATTCCCTGCCACCTTACTTTTGAAACTTCATTGTAAGGTCTACTCAAGCCTGTGTCCAAATAGCTACATTTTATCAAAGCCTCATTCTTCTGCCCTACCACTATTCCATGCCTTTTGTCATCTTGGGCAATGAGGCAACATGATGCTAACCTCCTCTCCCCAAGGCATTGTGTACCATCTCTGCAAATCAAATGGTGGTGATCCAGTTTGGGATTAGGAAATAGAAAGACGTGAACAATTCCTTGTTTGCATAAGACTGGAAGAACTGTTGGGGCAGAGCTGGGACTAGAACCCAGAAAAGTCATGGGACTGCCTGTCATAACAAGAAAGGGAGCTTGCAGCAGCTTCTTTTTCTGAGATGATTTGTTAAATCTCCTGTAATTGTTTTAGTAAACACTAATAGATGGGAAACAAAACAGAATGTTCTCTTCCAGCTTTTGTAGGCTGCGTGGTATCTCTCACAGCCATATGGGATTAATGGTAGCTGTAGGGTAGGATTGTATCATAAAACTTGTATTAAATGTTTTAAAGCCAATTAAAGAGACACTGCCAATTTGAGCTTTCTAAGATTTTACAAAGCAAAATTTTTTCCATTGTAGGCAAAGTGCCTTTGAAGTGCTAGATCCTGAAATTTTTAGCCATTTAAGAAGTAAATTGCTATATAGTCTCTGCTGATGCTGAGCCAATACCATGACAGAAATTCAACTAGTTATGCAAGTACTGTTGTGGGCAGCCAAGGAATAAAATGCTCCTAAGCAGAAATTCATTTTTCCTTCATATACAGAAGTATTTTAAATCTTAATTGAAGCCTCATTAAGTGACATTTTGGACAGGAAGGTTTGGGTTCTCCTACCAATTTGATGATGTGTCTTTCAGATAAGCCTTTCTTAAAACCTTCAAGTCTCCAAATGGAGAAGTGAGACCTTTTCTGAGTGTTATACCGATTATTAGAAAATCCATATGTCTGAATTCTTGAATTTCATTAAAAACCAAGTTTCCATTTCATGTATATAGTTCCCCTTATCATAAGGTGTAAAATATCCTTTTTTTTTCCCATGGAGAGCATTCAACCTGCATTTCAAGGAGCAAGCAGCCCATGACAGGAAAAGGATCTGCAGGGCTCAGTGTCCAGGGTAGAAAGGAGATGGATGGATGTAGATGCAGTCACAGTTTGCTTTCCTAGGTAGTGTTGTACTTCCATTCATGTGAGAAATATGAATCTTTTGATGGAGCTCAGGATGCACTTGGGTTTCTGGGCTGCAAGCTCACACTGCTGGGTCATGTCCAGCCTATCATCCTCCAGTACCCCAAAGTGCTCCTCAGGGCTGCTCCCTATCCCTTCATCCACCAGCCTTTGTTCATACCAGGAGCAATTCCTTTTCAGTTGTAACTGTGATTAAAACTCCAGAATCCTTGACCCGTAGATGAGCCTGTCAGGACACTTCTTGGCCTGTTGTAGCATCCTCTGAGAGACAAAAGCATCTCTTTGTTACCCTTGTGCCTTGGATGTGGTCTGCCTCTGTCTGTCAGAGGGCAGCAGAGGCTGGGGCAGCAATACCTTCCCCTCCTGCCCAATCCATTTCCAGAGTACTCTTGGTGCACATCCTAAGCTCTGTGTGTTGCAGAGGGCTGACAGTCCCCGCAGCGTGCCTGGTGATTTCCTGCACAGTTGCAGGGCTGATGTGTGTGCTTTGGGGAACCATCAGGGCTGGAGGTGAGCAGGACTTGGCACAATGTCACCTTCCTGGTCTCACAGCTCATTGCTCACCCGCAGCTGGGACCTGACAGGCTTTTTTTGTCTCTGTTTTGTATAAATCTTCGTCACTGTAGCACTTCATCTGATGTGACTAATACGCATGGTTTTTCTCTGCTCTCTCCCCTGAGGAAGGTGGGGGGAGAATTAGTGTGGGCAGTGCAGTATTTCTGCTTCAGTCTGGTTATTTTAGAAACAAACTTAAAAACATATGTTCATTTCAGTTCGTTTATGTGACAGAGACAAGGTCGAAGAGATATGCCTGGAAAGTGTAGCTGAAACCTCCCTAAGAGCTGGGCTGTGTGCAGGGATCATGTTACACGGAGTTTATTGCAGGCTGGTATTTAAATTCACTGTAGCCTGCCCCATCATTGTATTTTAAAGGTCCCTTTCTTTTACAGATCTCTTCATTTTGTCTCCTTCTCCTGTTTGTACTTTTCCATTTATTGTTCTTTTCAGGACAATTTCATTTTTTGAAATATTCTCTGTTCTGTGGGAATCATAATCTCTATTATAGAAACACATTTGCATAAATCTTGATAGCCCACATTTTCTCCTCACCTAGATCCTCATTGTGTCACATGTTGTGTCCTTGCTTCACAATTCCTACCTAAATTTCCAGTACAGGTGAGACAGACTGTACCCTTGAAATGCTTGTTAATAAGGCAACCATTGGGATTGGCAGGACATGGTGATGGAAGATTTCCTCTTGAAAAAGTGAGGATTGGCAAGTCTGGTTTTCATTTTTTCATCAAAGCAAAAGCAGAGTTTTGTAAATGATGGTGGGAAGAAACCTGAGGAGGGGAGATTTCAGTAGATGAAAGCCTGTCTGCTGGGAAGAGATGTGAGGGGGCAACTGAGTCTCAGCTCAGCTGGACCTGGATGTAGACCTGAAGCCCTTGCCGCTGTGAGATTGGTGGCTGGGGCTGCTCCCCTCCTGGCCAATGTTTAAAGATCTAGAAGGTGAGAAGAAAAATGAGAAAACAAATAGTGATTAACTTAGTCATGGGAGGAGACCACCTGAGTGTGGTGTAGGAGACAGAAGTTGAAGCCTTTGCTGAAATCTGTCACAAAAACTAATTAAACTTTCTCCTTCATGTTCTCCTCCATTGCTGTAATCCCTGTGACTGCCAAAGCTCATCCTGCTTCTCACCAGCCAGTGCTTCTCACTTTCCTTGGGGCTGGGAACTTACAGCCACACAAGTCCTTCTTCTGGGAAAAAGGTCCCATAAAGTGCTTCCCAACATGTGCAAGAATGCAAATAGGATTTGAAGAAGATTCGTCTCATTTGATTATATCTCTAAGCAACTGGTCTTCTGGTCTTTTGCACAAGTATAGTTCAAAGTTTGTAATAACAAGTAGGGTGGTGGGGAGGGGGTAAAGCAAACTGGGATTTTTGGAAGAGTTTTGGTAAAGTCTTGCACTCTGTTACTGTGGTGATACCATGGAAACTTGATTTGTGAGTCTAGGGAGACTCTAAGTTGTGAAGGAAAAAGCTGAGATTTTTGGTAGGACCACATAGTTTTGAGCTCTCCTTTTGACTTTTCCTCCAAGTAATATTGATGGGGATGTGGTTAATTTTAGTGGCAACATGATCAGTGTATAAATCATGATAAGCCTTCACTAAATGAAAACTGGAACATGTCTACTGAACTGCTTTTGAAATGTCTGGATGTAAGTAAAAGGGATCAGAGGCCTGTTTGTAGCTCAGAGAATATATTTGACTCTGAACTAATAAATTTTCCCAAATTTTCTTTAAGAAGTTAGTTGAATGAAAGGTCAGTCCCATTTGTAAACAAAGCTGTCTGAATTTATTGTTAAGTAAAATCATCAGGGGCTTTTGCAGTGCTTTCCTCTGTGGCTGAGTGCTGGCACAGTTGCTTTTTAGAAAGCTTAGTGCATATGATTCTTTTTTATTAGAAAATAAACAGAAAAGACATGCTAATCAGTAGCTTCAAAAGGCCCTTGCTGCAATATCAGTGCAAGAGCCTCCTGATGAAATGGGAAAGCAGACAAGTTGTTTTCAGGCAACAATTGTTTTCTACTGTGGTAGAAAATTGAAGCTCTGGCCAGCTTAGTGAAAAGTTTATGGACCTTCTGGGGAGCCTCTGCTACGTTTGTCCAGCCTACACTGATTTTTTTTCTCTGATTCTTTGGAACCAGGTGAAAATCAGTAGTTTGAGCATTCAGACCAAACAGAAAAGAGAAGAGAAGAACCCTGAGGATGTGAAATCTTGTACAGACACCTGCAAAAACCAAAGCAGGTGTTTTCTGTGTTGCACTGTCAGGAGTGCTGTGCAGAGCAAGAGGAGTGGTTGCCTCACAAATTTCTGGGTAAGGACATCCTACTCACTCTCCCCCTTCCCTGTGGCTGATGTTGACAGTACTGCCAAGTTCTGTTCTCATTATTTGCCCAAACTAGAGGTCTATGAGGCATGTGGGCACCCTGCAATACAGCGGAGGGACCCAGGCTGCATGAGCTCAGCAGCAGCAGAAATGGGATTGCCTCTCCAGCTATCCCCAGTTCTTTTGTCATGGCAGTGCCAAGTTCAGCATGGGCTAAGATTCTGCTTTTTGGGCAGAGCGTGTAGCAATGGTCACATCATTTAAATGTAGTATCTGAAGTGCTTTGTATCCCATGCCTGTGCCTCCTTCACTTTTTATATAATGTAGCCTGTGCATGGTGTCATTTTACTAGAACAACGCTTCTTAGGCACTGCTGTAACCAGAAATACCCTGACCTAGCTGTCACGTGCTGGCTATTTCTTGTGCCAAAACAAAAAGGTGAGAAAATAGAAACTAAAGAGATGGAGCAATTGCCATGCATGTATTTGCATTTCTCTCTCCTGAGCCTGTAAATAATCTAGTTCATGGCAATGTTTCTGTTTGGGGTTTCTGCCTCATTTCTGCTTGGCAAATGGGTTTGGAGAGGCTTGGGAGATTTTATTTGCTTTTTCAAGGGAGAGAGAAAAAAGATAAGGGGGACTGAGGCTGTCATAAGGTCAGTGAAGCTGCAGCACACCAGCTGGGAGCATGGCTTACTGTTCATGTGTGCTTAGGGAGGCATCCAGGTTCCCAGACAGGATGGACAGCTAGCTGGGAGGAAAATGACAGCTCAAAAGGTTATGTGGTCACATGGCTAGGTTTTCCTTGGGCTGGCCTTCAACCACTGTCCCCATCACCATTCCTAGGCAAGGCTATCTCTCGAGGCTTGTGTAAAAAAAAAGAGCTACACCCTTTTAATTGAAGTTGTGTATTTAAGCAGGTTTCCAGTAAACTAGTGCATATGCCTGGACTGTTATTTCAGCACAGAATGGGTTTTTTTTGTTTGTTTTGGTTTGGTTTTGCTTTATTTTATTTGACTTCTGTATTATTTTAGCATAAGAAAAGCAGTTAAGAGCAGACTGCAATTAATATACCATTTTCATACCTCCTCCAAAAAATGTGTTATACAGTGTTTAAACTTGTAGAAAATCATGGTAGACAAAGCTTGATAAACTTTGGTTCCTTTCCAGAAAGGTGAAGAGGAAAAGATTTTTCCTGGATCTGGTTTTTCAAAGTGAACTCCAGGTGGTCTTTGCTGTGCCTCACTGAACCCAGGCTCCTTCCTATTATATCAGTGTGTGGTGCCTTATAGCAGTTCCCAAGACTTTAGCCTGCGACCTCTTAAAGAACAAATGCATGCTTCTCTGTAGAGAAACTCAAGGAGCATGAAAATTTCTGGCATTTGAAATTTCATTTCAGTGTTCAAATTTTAGAAATGTATTTCTATTAAGTAATTAAGAGTTTGTTGACACTGAATGAAAATCACAGGAACATTAGGTTGTTGTATGGGAGAGTGACTTCTTGTGTGTCCTACCAGATGAGGAGACCTCACAATAGCCCAAAAGCTCTTCTGGAATCCCCGATTGAAGGGACACAGCTTTTGTGATGGCCACGTCTTGGCTCAAAGAGAGCTCATTTCTCTGAAAGGCAGAGCCTTTTTCTTGCCCACTCTGCCTTTGAACTAAGAAGCATGAAACCTAAGGGATGCTGTATGACTTCCTGAGTTTTGTGTTATGCATGGATGGTTGAGCATTGTTCACGCCGGGCATTCAGATAAGAGGGGAGGCTTTGCATGTGCTGCGTCCCCTCTGAATTGTCCCACAACTGCCTGTCCCACCGGACCACCTCGACAGCTGAATGAAGAGCAGCTGTTCATTAACAGGGAACAGAGATCCGGTGCTGGCCATAGGAAGTAAAAGCCCTAGAGCACACTGCAGTAGCGTTGTTCTCCCTTTACAAAGCTGCTCTCTGTTAAACTGCAGTATCAACCCTCACTGGCGTACAAATGCCCTTCGTTAGGGTTTGCACGCTGTGTTATATGAGTCCGCAGTTAAAAAGCAAACGAACAAAACCTGCTTGTGGCAATTTACTGTAATGGCACTGGAAGTCAGTTTAATCAGTGAAAAAAATGAGTGAGGTGATTATGCTCAACTATAGTGCTGGAAGGAGCAGGACAGCCGGGCGCTGAGGTTGTGACTTCACCAGGGACTGTGGAGGAGATGGATTATTTGCAAAATCTCAGCCTGACATGGCTCTCCCAGAATGCAGCCTGCTCCTAAGACACATATCCGTATATGTTTAATAAGGTGCTAGAACAGAACCTGAAATGTTCATTCACATTCCTCTGTTGTGGATCATTTCAGTGACCATCTGGTGCCCCTCTTATTTTCTTTAAAGACTGTCTTGCATCCTGCACATTACTTTCTGTTTACCCTTTGGGGCCCTGCTTGGCAGAGTGCCATGGAATGTGCTTGGTGTCCTGTCCTTTCCTAACTCAGCAAAACACCGAAGACAGTGCATAATGATAAGCCATAGTGTTTCCGCTCCCACCTCACTGGGAGAGCCCCATCTTACCAGCTGCAAGAGCAGCCTTTGCTTGGAAGGATGTGAAAGTTTGTACAAACAGTACTTTTATTTCCAGGGAGATTTTTAATGCTTGTTTTAGTGGCTTGCTTAGATTTAAATACTTGAGTAGAGACAGCAGCCTGGTATCCAAGTGGTAGAAGAGAGATCGGTGAAAGAAAAAAATAATTCCTTTCATGGGTCCAAGAGTTACTCTCTGACACCAGAAGCTGAAAGGCTTCCCAGCTGAGCCACCATTTTCCATGTGTTAGTGCTACAATTGCAAACCTACCTGCGCTTTGTAGTGTGCAAATTCAGTTAATTTGCTTAGCTGGAAGAAAAGCAGTAACTCTACCCTTTCTGAACTGACCAGCATGGGAGTCTGTATTTTAACCTTAAGAAGAGCTAGCAGCCTTGAGGAATGCCACTAGGAAATGGAACTCAAGCAATCACACTGGACAAATGATGAATTGCATATATTTCTAGTGCATCTGTTTGCGTGGATGTGATTGAGAGAGGGGAAGGAAGGGGAAGGATGGACCTGATACCAACCATATTCAGTTTAGGAAGGAATGCAGAGGAGACTGTGGTTACAGACTGATTTAGGAGTTCATTGAGTCAATTGAAGGAACCTGGTGTAAGTGGCTGTGGGTTGATGTTTTTCACGTGGCAGTGACCCAGCTGTGTTGCTCTGTGGGCACTTTAAGCCAGCAAAGCTGCATCACCTCCAAGAGACACAGGCTGAGACAGCTGAGCCCATTTCCACCAGCACCACTGCATTCTCTGACCCAGCTTCTGCCAGGAGAGGTATTTTGTTGAGGGAATGGGACTGGGATGATTCCCAGGCCCTGGGCAGGCCTTGCTGTGCTGGCACAATGCTGTTCTATGAATCCTCTGACAAGCTAAAACAGCTGAACTGTTTTACGTTTCATTTGTTTAAGTGGCCTTTTGCAGTGGCGTGAGTACACAGAATATTTTAGTTGTCCTTCTCTGGTTATCTTTTGCTTTGTCATGTTGATGATGTTCTTACTCAATTTATTTAGCCAACACATTTTGGCTAACACTATGTTGAACTCTGCTCCAGGAGGACTCTTTGGTTCAGGTGCGTCCACAGCTTCTCTAGGAAGCAAGTCAGGATTTTTCTGGTCAACAGGAGCGCATTTGCATTTGTAAACTGTTGGTCCTCTTCCCTTATCTCTGTTTGTATTATGTTACAACTCAGGGTGTTCCTGCACCCCATGTTGGTATGGTGCCCAAAAGCTGACACTTCTGTAAGCTTGTAGTCTGTGTGTGGTACAAAAAGTACCAGAGAGAGTGGCTAGGGATTGCTATAAAGAACTCAATGTTGTATTTCGTTCTCCTAAATAATACTGCTGCTGTAGATCCTCCTACATGCTGAAGTAAGGAATCTGTGTGAAAGTGTCTTCCCTCCATGTATGTTTATTGTCAAAGTCCTTCAAGCTTTGTTTGACTATTTTGATGTGTCCAGTTTCTTATCTGATTCTTTCTGGTTACCTTTCCAGTTCAGGGACAAAGTCCGAAGAGAGATTGGCATATGCTTATGGAGGGTGGAGTTGGCAGAGAAATAGTTTAGCTCTGCCCCCTTTTTGATTGGAAAGTTGTCCTTGTAAAACAATCCCAGCTGGGGTCTGAAAGAGAGTGAGTTTCTGCATCTTCCTGAAGTGCTATTGTCACAGCACCCAGAGGAATATATCTCATTTTAAATTTGAGGAGCATGACTGTTCCCTCTGTGACACTTAGGTATCACAGACAGGTGATGGGGCTGGGGCATGTGTTCAGAAGGAGAATCAACTCCAGGCAAATGTTTCTTGTGACTGTTTTCTTGACCTGTCCTCAAGGATATCCAGGGCTCAAGGTCCCACATCACCCCCAGGTTCTCTGCTTCATCATTCCTACTGCTGGAAAGCAGGCCCTTATACCCCTTTTGAACCTCCCTTCCCACAGTTTAAACTTTTTGCTCTAACCCCCAAAAATTCCATTGTGTATACTTTATATATGATCTAATGTAGAATGTTTGAATTCCTGAGAGAACACAGAAGAAAGCCAACTCATGCCTCAGAAGGTGACTCAGATGCCTTTCTGGCCAAAGACAAAAAACTCTGCTCTTACCATACCAGGACAGATTAGAAGCACCTAAGAATGTCCTGACTGATACTATTTAGTAGATGGCAAGACTTGGACACTATGTGGGACTGGAAGGAATCTGAGAAGGTTTATTACAAGCAAATTGTGTTTTCTTAGTGGGTGCTTGTGATCTGCCATCCATGCAGAGCAGGAGCAGCAGTGATTCTGCAGCCTCACTCAGGTCAGGGTGAACAATTATGAGTGTGGACCAAAGTCAGTCATGGAATACCTGAGCACAGCAAGACAGCAGGAGATCTTGTGGTGGTTATTAATGGAATATTTGTAACTGTGT